ATTTCTTGAGTATGTAGCAAGGCTTGTTGTGGACTTAATAAAAATCTCCCCTCGGCCAACACCGCGCCAACAGACTGACAAACCGGAAGTTATGGCAAACGAAATTCGCCTGGGGCACTGGGTACTAGCGCGTACCCGAAAGTTCGCGAAATTTCTGGTGACTTCTAGCTACTTCTGGATCTCTATGTTTCCAGCAGTTTCGAAAGATCTTGAGTGAATTAATGCAAAGTATAAATACGAGTCACCAGCAATGACCAAGCAGTTTGATTGGAAGTATTTTAATGTAAAGGCAATCACGGTTGTTCACCAGCAAAAGAAGAAATCACAGACATGGACGAAAGAGAAGTGAAATGCGACAACTGTCAGAGACACGTTCCTTCCGAAAATTACCAGATGCATGTCGTTCACTGCAAACGAAATATTCAGATATGCTCTTTGTGTGGAGAAACAGTGTTGAGGAGCGAAGAGAAGGAGCACTTCAAGGAAAACCACGCAGAAATAAACTGCATTCAATGTGGACAGAAAACTACGAGAAGCGAGGAAGGGAATCACCTAGCAAACGAATGCGGTAAGAGACCGATTCCATGCCAGTACTGTGAAATAACCCTGCCGAGAGAAAAAATGCCAGAACATCAGGAATTCTGTGGATCAAGGACGGAATGGTATCACAATTGCAGTCGATACATTTTGATCAGAGATCTTCCTAATCACGAGAAATCTTGCGATGGAGGCGCTAGTCAGAAGTGTGCTATCTTGCCTTGGGAATTCTGCGGATCTTTAATCCCGCATGAAAACATTGATGTTCATCAACGCCAGTGTTTAGAGGAAAGCCAGGGCTCTCAAATACCTCTTCTTGTAGAGGGTGACGATGACTTTTTCCAAGAGATCGCAGCGACAAGAGGAAGAAGCAGTGACGATCACGAAAGACGTGGTCATATTTATTCAAACTCCGTCTCGCATGACAGCAACGAAGCTCCCAGCGAAGCTCAAGCAGAACGAAACAGTATTGTTGCTCTGCCGTGTGAAATCTGTGGCGAACTGTGCCCTTCAGATAGATTAATGAAACACCAAGAGGAATGCAGCCAAGAAAGCGAAAACACTGTGGACCCCACACGCTCCCGGAGAGAAGAGAACATCTACGGCAGCAATCTACCCCACTTCCGGTTTGCGAGCGCTCAGAGAAGAGACAACCTGGAATATTCGTTCGATGATTTTTCTTTCAGGGGATTTCCGTATTATATTCTAGCGAACGTTTTTCGCGACCTCGAAGACAGAGGAAGGCCATTTGAAATGATGAGAAATCTTTGATCCCACAAGGAGGAGACATTCAACGACCGAATTTTGTAGCACCTAAATATTACTGGTATGTTTATTGAAGACTTAAGACTACCTAAAACTGATGTCGAAAAAGGTATAAACGTTTGATATTATCGGAAACCCTTGGATTTCTGACATTATTTTACAATAAACTGATAATATTTTAGACATCAATTTTGAGTACTAAGTTACAGTGAACCTACAAAAACTGTGAAAAAAGCCTAAATCAGCATATCCAAGCCTTTTGTTATATCAAATATTTGGAATCTACTCGCTCCTCTTCATTAAGATTTAAAGCTGACAATCGAAATAAAATGCGGGCATTAAGTTCTAGTTGGCTGCGGCTATTACTATGACATATGTACAACAGTTTTGTTTACTCATGTCTTTTGATATCGATATATCGAAACATCGACCCCGTTCCAAATGTCTGAATCCGCACACATCTTCTCATTGGCGGTATGTCTTGAATTTCTAGATGACCCAAAGCGGAAAATAAAAAAATAATAAATAAATAAAAATAAAAAATAGATGTTAACATGAAGGAATATTTAATACAACACAGACGGTGGTTTGTAGTTTGAATAATTCGTGCACCTAGGTGTAATTTTTATGTACGCATGTAAACATTAGCTAGTCGAGTTTGTTTTTTCTTGCTTTCTAATAGTGACCAATACAATATTGGTTAGCTAACGCAGAGGTTCGAATCCCGATGAAGCCCTGAAATATAATATATTTTTGAGCTTTATTTCCAATTGCTTATTAAATTGTGAACACAATTGCGATGGTCAATCTTCTTTTCACGATTTTAGCTTTGCTACAACATTTTTAAAATCTGACTTTTTTGATGGTTGCGTTACTTCCGGTAGTTTTGATCACTTGTTGATCTTACCCAAAAACTATATACGTTTTTCTCGTACAAACTTTTAAAATTAATGAGAAAAAAAAAAAGAGGCGTAAGGCATTTCGGCAGAGTTACTTAAACTGAACCAAATAAAATGAGCTCTCTTACTTTCTCAATAAAGTTATTCGTCGTGTTCCTGTGGACGCGGTCGATTTCCAAACCTTGGAGCTCTGTGATCCGCTCTCGGCTGTACAGGTATCATTACAGCCACTAAATGCACGAGTCTTGACAGCATAATCAGCACAACGAGGGAGATATTGATTACGCAAAATGTAACGATGGACACCACCATTAGGAGGGCGAGCGAAATTACGCTGACAAACTCGATAGTCATTCTTGGCAATTTGTCGTCCTTCTTGATTGTAATCTGACTCAGTCAAGATATAGTAAATGAAGTCTCTGATTGATTCTGCGTGAAATCCCGGAATTTCTTTGGTTGTAACTTAGAAAATTCTTTTGAAATCGTCCTGAATTTCAACCCCTTGAACCGCTGTCGTCCCCAAGTGTTGGTGT